CAGCCGGCTAGCCCAGCCAGCCAGCCTCAGCCCAGCCTGCCCAGCATGCCAGCTAGCCAGCCTCAGCCAGCCACCCACCCACCAATGTGAACATCAATATCCAACTTTGCAATTTCTATTGTTTTTCTGCTGTTTGCACATGCTTGGATCAGCTTGCAGATTCAAACAAACAATGATTTTTGAATTCTTTGTTGTGCATTTTTTTGTGGTTTTGTTTGTGCTCACTGTTAGTGTAACGAGGCAATGTACAAGGTATACCCATTTGTTCACATGAACAGCATGATGTGTTTGCTTTAGCTCTTTTTTATGGCTTGATCCTCGATGACAGGATGGCGCGAGTCCGTCAAGCAAGCCACGCGGATGGAGTGTGCAAAAGCTGGGCTTAGCGAACATGATGACTTGATCATTTCCTGGAACTACCAAACACAATGTGGTTCGATGAGAGCACTACAGTTTCCTTGGCTCGGATATAATATATCCCCCATGAAGAGTTGTTGATAAGTGTTTGTCCAGGACATGCACATGCCTCAAGGCTACAAGGGATGCACATGCACAGGCGGCTGTTGCAGTGAATGCTGCCTCATAGATATTTATCTCGGCAATGTAATCGTGACGGTACAAGACACTTTCGCCATCTTTGACATACACGCTAGAATTGAGCAGGGCAGTAGTGAATGCACCCTTTTTCGTTATTTCCAGCAGCAGAATGCAGTTGGGTTTCACAAAACCAGAATTCCGTCCTGGAACCCTGGGTGCTGTCTGGAACCTTGGATGCCGTCCGGGCTCATCCTTCTGTGCTGCGTTCGGGGAGCTAGGGCAAACAAACAAACATCTCGGAGATATCGTGAGACTATGAGTTTGGTGGTAGTTAGTGCTTAGCATTCCACCTTGGAACCTATAGACTTTGAGGCTGACTTGACCTGTATTGTCATTAAATATGGGCACAGTTGATCAATCTCTGAAACTGCCGGCGTCCCATATCTTGGAACCCTGGGCCCTGTCACCTTGTTGCTGCTGCTAGGGGCTGTGTTCAGGATCGTGCCTTCGAACAGGTGCATGTGTCTGCGCGGCGTTTCTGCAACCGCAACAGCTTCTGCACTTGTAGTGTGCTCTCTGTCTCCACTAGCAAGCAATCTCTCGTCGCAGCGCCGAAGTGGGCGGCAAGGCCGCAGGTAGTTGCGCGTACCTCGCAACAAGGTTTCTGCACCGGCAACAGCTTTTGCACTTGTGGTGCGCCTTTTGCCTCCATTGCTGGGCTTCCCACCAAACTTAGACGCCCCGCAAGGCCACAGGCAGTTGCGTGTCCTGGGCAGGACGTTTCTGCAACCGCAACAGCGTTTGCTCGTAGTGCGCAACTTGTAGCCACGAAGCAGTCTTTCTTGTGGTGTGCCTCCTGCCTCCATTGCGGAGCATTCATTCTACACACCATAGTTCTTTGTGCGGCAATACTGCAGGCTCGCGTGTACTTAGCAGGACGACGGCAAGCAACTTATACACCTGTGGTGTGCCTTGTGGCCCCATTGCAAAAGATACGGTATTTTGCGCAGCAAGGCAACAGGCAGTTGCACATAGCAAGATGTTCCTGTGCTGTTGCCCTTGTGGTGTGCTTTCTCTTCCTGTTGCAATTCACTCTTTCTTCGCAGCAACCTTAGGAGGACCAATGGTGCGGCAGGTTTTTGCACGTACCTAGGAACGTGCCTTCGTTTTTGTTCTGATGCGCTTTTGTCCTCGGACCCCAGTTTCTGCTCCTGTTTTTGTTCCCCAGTTCCTGCTCCCCAGTTCTCTTTACATTTTGCAAATCGATTGGGGTCGGTTGCATTGGAGCTTCAGCAACGCATCGTTGGAGTGATTGAAAAGTTGCAGTCAATTGAGTTGCTACCTGGTGTTGGGTTGCGAAGCTGGGTTAGTTTATTGCTGTGGAAAACAGTCCAGATGTCAAAACGAACCTGCCTGCTCAAAAAACATCAACCTGCGGTCACTCAAAAGGCAACATTGAGCACCCGCACGTGTTAAGGAGAAGATTCCTCACCATGGGTACCGCACCAAAACACCATATTGTTCTTATTTCCTCGTCTACCTTGATGGTGCTGCAGGCGTTGCCGTATTTGGACAAAACATGCTTAAAGGACATGTCCGTGCAAATATTGGCTATTGACAGCCTGTATAATTTAAGACGTGTACCATGTATGTGTAGTTTACCTCTATGTATGTATATATATATACAGTATGTATATCTATTTTACTGTGCCGTGCAGTTCTTATTCTTGAGTTTCAGGGTGCCTCCAGAAACTTGCATTTAAGAGCAACCAAGTAAATTGTGTGCTACACTTCTTCAAGACAGATGCTTTTCTGCCAAGAGTGTGAAACTGTTGACTCAATGGGCTGACGAGGCGAGGAGGATCACACGTTCTCACTGCTATTTAGATTGCTGCGAAAGTTTCCTCATGCTTGGTACACGTGCAATCTTTCGTGTCACCTGGTTCAAGGGAGATGTGGAGGTTCGTATGGTCCCATAGACGGTGATAGTCTTCATGATTTCAACTTCATATGTTTGGTGTTCAAAGCAAGCGCTTTTTGGAGCGTGGCTGCTTTTCCTTGAGTAAGAGCTCAGCTGACTTGAGTCGGCTGGCTGGGGCAACTGTTGCAATGGACACGGTCCAGTTTCAGAACTTCCAGGTTTCTTGGCCGCGCCTAGAAATTCAGAGATTTCGAAGGCAGTGGAAACAATGTCAAGCTATTGGACTTTTCATGTTTTTAGTTTTGCTTGTTGTTCGCCGCAGTTTAAGAGTTTAAGTTGCAGTAATTGACATGAGATATCAAGCCGAGGTTTGGTTTTAGGACGTGTAACTTCATGCATATTCATCCCACCTTCCCAGGTGCAGTTGCATCATCCTCCCTGCACCGTGAAGAATACGTCATGGCCCTGGCACAAACAGAATCATGAACAGCAGTGGTGGATTCTTGCCCAGGTTCCTGAATGTTGCGGAGGAGAATGTCTCAAGCGATGAGGAGCTGTACACACCTTTCGAAAGGTGCAATATGTCAGCGCCTCCGGTCCTCCAGGCCCGCGCGGTTATTTGCTTGCGCCCTGAAGGGCCGCGTCATCGGCCAGTGGTTGGGCGTGTTTCGCCGGTAGATCGGGCACGCGTGGCACATGTCGTCAGGACCCGGCTTACGTGCGAACCGATGTTGCTGCCGAGCCTTGGATCACCAGCTTGTTGAGGTGAATGTGGTACAGCTGAAAGACCTTTAGACCTAAAAAAACATAAACAAATATATAGTAAGCGATGGCCTCCAACCTAATAGCCATAGCAATGGCCTCCAACTTATTTTGTGTTTCCGTACAAAAAAGAGTGCACCGTGCAGCTAGTGCTTAATCATGCGATAGCATGCTCAATCTGGGAAGGACGTAAGAAGGGCCGACTACCAGCTCCAACTCTTGCAGTCGCAATCTTTACATTGCCTTGATCCGAGGCCCGTGACTACTACATGCGCCTTCCGGGCCCGTTGCCGCATATCTTGCAGGTCTCATTTCCTGAACAGTTGAATGAAACTCGGCTTGTAGAATCGAAGCGGCCATCGTCACCTGTGTGCACAAGAGCCAAAGGCTGAAGAAAGGTCGAAGAAAAAGGAAACAAAGGTCTGAACATGTTGGAGGCCATCGCTTACTACTTTGCTTTCCTATAAGGTGTAAGGATCCAAAACATTTGTATTCCTTCCGTCTCCTTCATAGATACTGTGCTAGACCTGAGGATGAAGGACCGCAAGCGCGAAGGACGGGATGATGTGCAAAGCATACGTGGTCCCCCTTGCCCAGTACCTTGAGGCCCTACCCATTTGTTTACTTTGCAGGATGCCAGGCATGCAAGGACCGTCCTCCAAGGCGGGGATGTCACTGAGACGCTTTCTTTTTGGCTTGGACTTTGTTCTACTCGCGAGGAGATGGAGCTTCCAAAGATTGCGCATCTTGGACGTTCAAGAGTTTTAGTCCTTTCCGGCCTTCAGACTGATTCAAGAGGTTTCAGGGTTCTTCCTCGATTCCAAGATCAGACTGCAGATCCCATGAGGTTGTCCGAGGAGATCGAGCCGCGGCCCGGTGTGCAACCCATGAAGAGCAAGGGCAGTACAGGGCATCCAGAGAACTGCAAGGTGGGGATTGTGTACATGGTGTGATATATTTGGACTGGTCAGGACTGATCAGAATTGTACGGTCCGTCATGTCACCACGTCTGTTTCCTTTGCCGTCTCCCTCTGACATTTGCCACTTCCCGCCACTTCCCCCACAGAGCGCTTCCAAACAACATGCACAAATTTGCAAGCTGATCAGCTGTTCTACTTAACGGCACCTAGAGGGGCCAAGACAATCTGATTTGCTCTCTGTATACCTTGGTCTCTGTATACCCCAAGCCAAAGCAAATCCCTGATATTCCTCAAGCCAGCTGACCTGTAACAATGCAAACCCCTGTCAGTCAATCAATTGATTGAACCCATGTTGTGAGGAACGGACATTACGGACCTGTTGTGTCTCTCAAGAGCTTTCTGTAGCAAGCTTCCCTGACAAATGGACGCCGACAACGCAAGACACGGGAGTTCTGATTAGTCTTGCACTCTTACGAGCAAGAGAGAGAGAGAGAGAGACAGAGAGAGAGGGAGAGGGGGGGGAGAGGGAGATGCACCCTACGGTGCAGCTGCTGAGCATTGCAGAAAAAGAAGTTAGCCCTTTTTACCGTGAAACATGTTGTTACTGCATTGGACCTTGGCTAAATCAAGGCTAAATCTTAAAAAGGAACAGCAGCGCAGAAACACCAGACGTTTTAAACAGCAGTATTGTTTCGACCAGGTGTGAGACATTGAAATGAGAAATCACTCCGTTGCAGAGAAATCATCTTCCAATAGTGGAGCCAGACCATAGGAATCACTCGTAGCAAACGAGTAGCGAGACCATAGGTGAATAACTCAGGGAAGCGAGAGACGAACCCCGAGAGCCCCCCCGAGAGCTGCCCCGGAAGCACGCAAGAAAAGCGGTTTCCCGAAGGATTGCGCTCTCTATATAGGTAAAGGTTGAAGCAGGTGTAAGTAGAGTGGCGAAGTCCAGTACCCCGCCAGAGTCCATAGCTGCAAAATTAGCTCCATCTAGCTTCCGACATTGTATGCCCTTCTGTCGAACACCACTGGAATTTCCCTGGAAGTTCCATCAAGTCTTGACCAGCCAGGAGTGCACTTTCTACTTCTTCAGCGCTGCAGGATGTAGGAATGGTGCTGATTGCTGCTTCTGCCACGAGTTCCACCCAAGGACTGGCGTGCAACTGTTGACAGACTCATTACGGCGGAACTGTTGACAGGAAGAACAGCAAGAAGAACAGGCGCATTATGCGCACCCTGCAGACTCGTCCCAGACTCGGCCTGCCACAGGGCCTGCAGATTGTAGTCGAAAAAATAGAATCACCAAGGACGGGATTTAGCTTCCTTTTGCCTTGGAATCAGAGATTCACAGTGAATTCACAGAAGATTTGATTGACATGTCATATCTCAACCTTTCGAAAGCTCCCTGCCTTAGGCGGGCATGATGCGTCCGACAGCAAGGAGATCCAAGAGTTGCCCAAGACCAGCGTCGAGGCTTTGCGGAACTTTTTTTTGATGTGAAAGACGTGATGTGAGGGGGTTCTCATATGCAGTCTTATCGACCATCATCGACCCCTCCCAGGCTACGTTTCAGAAAAGCATGACATGACATATGACATGATGTGACCCCTGGCTGTCTCATTCGTTTGGCACTTCCTCCATTGGTTGTCCCCCTTTTGCAGTTGAAGAAGTTGGACCACGAGAAGGAGCCCGTGAAAGCAGTGAAAGATGTGAAAGCTGAAGGAGCTCAAGGCAATTTTTCCAGTATCCATATGGCACATGGTATGTAAAAGCTCCAAAAAGATGCCTTGTTGCAGTTTTTTCGTCGAAGCACGGTACCCGTACGTGTTGAGCCTCGGAACTTGAAAGGTTCGGAAGTGCCACATCCCGTTGGGGGTGACGGAACATTGTGCGTGAGCTATGACCAGGACAGATGAGACAAGAACGAGGTATTTACATGAATTTACAATCGCTGTTGGAAGTTAATACACTTTCAGATAGTCTGCAGGGATTAACTACATGTGTATCTGTATATACGTAAGTATTTGCGCAGATATTTGCAGCTTTGCATTTGGGGATTCTGCTTAGGGCCTTAGGGTGTGTAAGGCTATCGTAAGACTATCTTAGGGATTGTCTTGCAACCTCTTCGAAGTCTTCGGGCACAAAACAGTTTGCTAGGACGGCGCAGCAGACAACAGCTCCTCGGAGATGAATGCTCTCTCACAAAGAATGCTATTAGCTTCAGACGCTCCGAGGTGCTCCAGTTGCTTTGACGCTCATCCAAGGCGTTCGTGCCTTTCTTTGCCACTTGGGGGCAACTTCTTTGTTTGCACTTTCTGTGTAGCATTCCGAATCGAACTCGGATGGTGCACATGTTGCAACCCTTCTGGCACATGCAATAGTGCGTATGTACATCGTGCAGCCTGAGCCGTCAATGGAATAAACTGGCGGTGGGCATGAATCCTGTGGTTTGTGTATTTGCACGATTGTACACCTGTACATACCATATTGACCTCTAT